AAAAATAAAGGATAGAAGCAGAAACGTTACACACACACCCCCCCCCCCCCCTCCACCCACACACACACACACACACACACACACTAAACTTGTATCATTCAGGTCGATCAGAAACATCAACTAATCGAGTTCTCGCAAATAAAAAATCGAGTTCTCACAAATAAAACAATGAGCAGGTTTCTCTTTTTAACTAAATTGTCTCTCATCATTCAAATGTTTCAGCTCATTTTTGTTTTTCAGGAAAACCAACGTAAAATCATCAGAACCTCTGAGAAGAGTCAGGTTCTGCTGTTTGAAGGGAACCACATCCAGGATTTATGTCTGGATCCAATAATCCCCAACTCATTATCGGCAGCTAAAGGTCAAAGGTCAGGAGCTTATTTCTCACCACAACGGGATCTGAATTCTTGGCTGAGCTTCTAAGAAAGGATCAGAACCACCTGCTGCTGGTTCTGCGAGGCTCAGAACTTCTCATGTTCTGCTTTGGGTCCCACGATGCAGAAGTTAAGACAGGAAACTGATCTGAATGTTTACGGCTGATTTTAGAGTTCCCACCACGTTCTGCAGGACGTCTTACCCAGCTCGGTTTGGTACGGCTGTCCGTTCTCAGGCAGCTGGATGAACTGTTTGGAGAACATGCTGCTGCCGTATCCCAGGATGTATCCCTCCAGCTTCACGTCCGGACTCGAGCGCACGAACTTCATGACGATGGTGTCGCCGGTGGCGTTGATCCGGACCTTCATGTTCTGACGACGAGCTGAAAGAACGAACAGGAAGGAAGAAATCAACATGAGAAAAGACTGTGAAAAACAGGAGGAGTGATGTGAACGACTGGCTAAATCTACTGAAGAAGCTAAAATTCAAACAAGCTGTACAAAGGCCGAACGAGCTGAACAAAATCTACAAACTAAAAGCTGTAAAATAGTAGCTAAAAGCAGAATAGTAGAGAATAACAGAAAAGCAGCGTAAAGCAGTGGAAAAGTAGCTAAAAGCAGAAAAACAACAGCTAAAGCAGCAGAATAGTAGCTTAAACTTGCAGAATAGTAGCTAGAAGCAACAAAATAATAGCTACAAGCAGCAAAATAGTAGCTAGAAGCAGCAAAATAGTAGCTAAAAGCAACAAAATAATAGCAACAAGCAGCAGAATAGTAGCTAGAAACAACAAACTAGAAGCTATAAACAATATAGTATTAAAAAGCAAAGTATTCGCTAAAAGCAGCAGAGTAGTAGCTAATAACAGAAAAGCAGCTAAAGCTGTGCAAACACAGTTAAAAACAATAAAACAACAGCTAAAAGTAGCAGAATAATAGGTAAAAGCATAAAAACAACAAAAATTTGCAGAATAACAGATAAAGGCAGAAAAACAACAACTAAAAGTAGAAGAATAGCTAAGAAGCAAAACAACAGCTAAAGGTAGCAGAATAATAGCTAAAAGCAGTACAACTAAATGTAGCAGAATAGCTAAAAACAGCAAAACAACAGCTAAATGTAGCAGAATAATACAACAGATAAAGAAGAATAGTAGCTAATAATAAAAAAGCAGCTTAAAGCAGCAAGAAAGTAGCTAAAGCAGCAAAACATAAGCTAAAGCAGCAGACTAGTAGCTTAAATGAGCGGCATAGTAGCTAGAAGCAACAAAATATAAGCTATAGTACAGCAGTAGCTAAAAGCAGCAGAATAGTAACTAAAATCAACATAGTAGTAGCTAAAAGCAGCTGAATACTAGCTAAAAACTGCAGAACAGTAGCCCAAAGCTGAAAACAATAGAACAATAGCTAAATATAGCAAAACTGTAGCTGAAATCAGCAAAACTATAACGAAAAGATAAAAGGACCAGCAGGGTCGCTAAAAGCTTAAAATAGTAAAACAATTGCTTCAAAGCTAACGGTAGAAGAAAAAAATAAAATAACTAAAGGCTTAAAAAAAGGATAATGCTAGCTAAAACATAGCATAAGAAGACAGCAACGGAGCCAGTAGTTGAAGCAGATTTCAAAGTGAACAAAGTTTTTAAAGGATTTGTAGAGATCTCAGTGTATTACTGGGAAAGTATTTGTAAATAAAGTAAAATCTGCTGAATGAGCTGAACGTTTTGATATACAAACAGCTAAAATAGCACAAAGTCTGAGAAGGAGGACGGAGCAGAAACAGGGTTTCTCATCTGAACAATCAGCAAAATACTTCATATGTTTTCTTTGTGGGGCTCAAAGCCGACGTGTCAGAACGTCTTTAAAACTTTAACAAGAAATATTTCAGTCCTTCTGTGTTTGACTCAGGAAACATAAAGTTTGATTTTCCCAAACAAACTCGGAGAAGATTCCGTTTGATCGCATTAAAGGCGAACGAAGAAAATGCTGAGTTTCTGTTTGGAAGCGGAACGGAGCTGATGTTTGTCGCGGTTAGAGACGCTTCGTGTTCCTGTCTGAAGCTCCTTCATGTGGCTTCGGTCTGAGCTGCAAAGTGTCTGTGAGAAACGAGAACCCGGCCCTGAAACGAGTTCCTGATGTCTCCTCGTGTTTTAATGCGAACGTTACAAACCAGACGAAACCGAAAATCCACAAAACGTGAACATTTTTCTTCAATAAACGGACAAAAACAAGCCGCCGAGGGAAGAATAGCGCCGACAGGAGGAGCTTTTATTGCCTCGTTTGGGGTTTTCTTTCTGAGACGAGTTAAAACGTTCTCGTTGTAGACGCACATAAACGTGACAATGTTAAGAATGTTCTCGATGCAAAGTGAAAATAAACTTTGCATCGATCGTTTCAGCTGCATGAGGATGGATTTAAATGGTGACAGCAGTAAAAATGTGGTTTATGTGTCTAAAGGTTCCGTTTGTGTCCTAATCAGAGGTTCTGCTCCAACAGAACAGGTGAGGAGCTCCTCTCAGCTGCTGAGTCGTGTTTGTTTGATGGAGTGGAACGTTCTCCTGGAGGAAACAGGTGTTCTTGGTTCTGTTGGTTCTGCCTGGTTTGTTTTCCTTCAGCTCACTTCCTCGTGCCATGCGGCTTTTCTTCGGCGTGTTGGTGGAACATCAGCGCGGGACAACGACACGTGAAGTCTCTGTTCTCCGTCACGTTCCTGCAGCTTTTGTCCCTGGTCTGTTGTCAAGTCAGATTTATTCATAGAGCACATTTAAAACAGAAACTGTTCCCAACGTTGCTTAACAAAAAGATCACAGCATCAAATAAAACATAGCAAGATATATTTACAGCGCATGGAATAAAAATCTAAAGCACAACACATAATTCTAAATCAGATCACCTTGTGTCAGATGTCAAGGGATAAAAACAAGAAAGCATCAACTCACTCAAAAAGAATGAAATACTTAACCAGATCAGATGACCGTGTGTTGAACAGGAATAAAACAAAAAGCATGAACACAATCAGCATCAAAGAAAAACTAAATGTAAATCAGATGACCGTGTGTCATATGTCAATGAGTACATGTGTGTTTTTAGGAGGGATTTAAAAGCAGAGACTGAGGTGGCCTGTCCAATGTTGATGGACAGATTGTTGCAGAGCTTAGGTCCCACCACCGTCCCTATAACTTGTTTGTTTCTATAGATTGTTTTTTTTCTAATAGCTGACATATTTCTGAACTTGTTGGTTCCTGCATGTGGTTTGTTCCTATAGCGTGTTTGCTCCTGCAGCTCTTTTGTTCCTGCAGCTGCTTTGTTCCTATAGTTTGTTTGTGCAGCTCGTTCCAAAAGTTTGTTTACTGCCGCTTGTTTGTTCCTATAGCTTGTTTATTCCTATAGCTTGTTTATTTCTGCAGCTTGTGTATTCCTGTAGCTTGTTTGTTTCTATAGCTTGTTTGTTCCTAAACCTTGTTTATTCCTATAGCTTGTTTATTTCTGCAGCTTGTTTGTTTCTATAGCTTGTTTGTTCCTATAGCTTGTTTATTCTTGCAGCTTGTACATTCCTACAGCTTGTTTGTTCCTATACCTTGTTTATTCCTATATCTTGTTCATTTCTGCAGCTTGCTTGTTTCTATAGCTTGTTTATTCCT